GATGCTGATGCTGCTGCTGCTGATGATGAAGATGATGATGATGATGATGATGATGATGATGATGATGATGATGATGATAATGATGATGATGATGCTGATGGATGCTGATGATGATGATGATGATGCTGAGGCTTCTGACGATGATGGTGGTGGAGGACATGAGGATGAGGAGGACGATGCACGGAGAATGAGGCGTAGAAGTAATGGGGACAAGTAATGAAAACGGTTGTCTGACGACGATGCTGATGATCATGGTGGTGGTGGTGGTGCTGCTGATGATGATGCTGCTGATGATGATGCTGATCAGGATGATGCTGCTGCTGCTGATGATGATGATGATGATGATGATGATGATGATGCTGCTGCTGATGATGATGATGATGATGAGGATGATGATGACAATGCTGGTAGTGGTTGTTATTCCCCATATCCTAAGCGCTGGTCTCTTGTTTTTACCGGGATGCCTCCACTTCCTCGTCTCCCGCCTCATTATTCTTCGAACTTTGATCATTCATACTCAGACTCTTTCATGCGAAGATGCTCACACTCAGAATCAGTGACACTCAGACACAGTCATACTCAGACTCACTCAAACTCATATTCACTGATACTCAGACTCACTCTCACTCAGACTGCCTCTGACACAGACTCGCACATACTCAGCCTCACTCAAGTCACATTCAGGGTCCTACGTACAGCACCCATGCAGTCAGAGCCCTGTGCTTATCGCGATGGAGCAGGCGTGGCATTTGAGCACCCCAAGTAGAAGCCGCCATGGGTGGGGACATTTGCCCGTTCGCGCCCAGACTGTGTGGAAGTCTCAGTGAGGTTGCCTGTTTGGTTGATTGGACTTCTCTCCCTTCAGAGCCCCAGTCTGGCTCATCGCGATGCAGCAGGCGTGGCAGTTGAGCACCCCAAGGAGAAGACCCGTTGGCGCGCTCAGGCCCTGGAGATTTCTCAGGCGGTTAGCCTGTTCGGTTGCTTGGGCTTCTCTCCTGGCAGAGGATCACGCTCATCGCGATGTAGCAGGCGTGGTATTGAAGCTCTCTACGGAGAGGAACCGGGCGGCCTCCTCGATCGTGGAGGCGGTCCTGCGGCCTCGCAGCTCTCCTTCGAATCTTCTGCTGCAGTTTGCCTCTGGCTGTCGCAGATGCACTGTAAAAGGGGCCTGGGCGGTGCTGCCAACAAAAAAGTGGTGGGAACATGTGGCCGTTCCCGTCCAGAGTGTTGGGATGCCTCATGCGGTTTGCCTGGTTGTTGGATAGGACTGCTTGCTCACCGCGATGTAGCAGGCGTGGCATTTGAGCCCCCCCTACGGGGAACCGCCAGGGGTGGAGACATTTGCCCGTTCGCGCGCCCAGGCTGTGCGGATTTATCAGGCGGCTTGTCAGTTTGGCGCCTTGGACACCTGTGCGCTCAGAGCATGCTGTGAGGGTGTCTCGAACGATGCGCTGGTTTCAGCACCCTAAGGGGAAGCCGCCAGGGGTCGGACATTTTCCGTTTCGTGCCCAGATAGTTGGGATGTCTGAGGCGGTTTGCCTTTTTGGTGGCTTGGACGTCGGAGTTTTCAAACCACAATGCGATTCTGTTTCGAGCGAGGCGCTGTCTTTAACACCCCAGGCCGCCAGATCGTGGGGATATATCGACCAAGGCGCTCGGTTTTGTGTCTCCGGCCGCTGTCCACTCAGAGCACCGTATCACTTGGATGTAGGGGGAAGAGCGGCTGCCAGGATGGAGGAGGGAGGACGGAGGAGGACGAGGGAGGACAAAGGAAGAGGGAGAAGGGAAGAAGAAACAGGAGGGGGTACGACGAGTAGTAGGGGGAAGCAGAGGGGAGGGGGCCTGTACACCGCCTGTCAATCTGTGAATTGGTGTCGTCGCCGTCCCTCATCGCAGCCGCCGCTGCCGCCGCCGCCGCCGTCGATGTCGTCGTCTTCGTCTTCGTCGTCGTCGTCGTCGTCGTCGTGTTGTCGTTGTCGTCGTCGTCGTCGTGGTCGTCGTCGTCGTCGTCTTTGCCGTCGTACTCGTCGTCGCTCGGACTCGCTCTCTTACCCAGACACTCATGGCCACAACCTTCCAGCGGGACGTGCCAGTAAATGGGATGCATACATAGGGATTTTTGCGTCGAGTGAATAGTTCCATCCAGCTGCCTGCGGCAAGCCTCGCCGCCGTGTCATCTGCATTCTGGGTGGCGACTGTTCGAATGGGCACGGGAGGCAGTCAGGTGCGACACCTTTTGTCGCCAGGCTTGATGAGCTGTACTGATGATGATGACGAGGATGATGATGACGAGGATGAGGGTTATGATGAGGATGAGGATACGGAATATGCTAATGAGGATGAGGATGCGGATGCGGATGCAGATGATGACGATGTTTATGATACTTGTAATGATGATGCTGCTGCTGCTGATGATGATGATGATGAATATGGTGAGTATGATGATGACGATGATACTGATGGTGATGCGGATGCTGATTTTGATGATGATGATGATGATGCTGATGATGATGATGATGACGATGATGATGATGATGATGATGATGATGATGATGATGATGATGATAATGATGATTATGCTGATGCTGCTGATGATGACGATGATGGTGCTGACGACGATGATGCTGATGTTGGTGATGATGGTGACTGTGATGATGATGCTGCTGCTGCTGATGATTTCGATGATGGTGATGATGGCGGCGATGATGGTGATGATGATGATGATGATGATGATGATGCTGATGGATGCTGCTGATGCTGATGACAATTCTGATAATGATGTCAATGCTGATCTTGGTGTCGTTGTTGTCGATGGCGATGATGATGCAGACGCTGATGATGACGATGGTGATGATTATGATGGTGGTGGTGGTGGCAGTGCTGGTGGTGGAGCGGCTGCTGCTGCTGCTGATGATGATGATGATGATGATGATGATGATGATGATGATGATGAGGAGGAGGAGGAGGAGGATGAGGAGGAAGAGGAGGAGGATGTAGAAGAGGAGAAGGTGGAGGAGCTTCATCACAAGTGACAGCTGTTGTCTTCACTTATGAGCTCTTGTGGAGCTCATTCCAGCTGTCTTTGGGATGCCTTAGTCTGTTTTTGGGCAGTTTCGGGGGTCCCTTCGGGGCGTCTTCGAACCCTCTTGGGTCGTGTTGGGGCTTTCTTAGGCCGTCTTGGGTCTTTCTTGGGCCGTCTTGGGGCCCTTTTGGCCGTAAGCGTTTTTCTTGGGGCCGCGTTGCGCGTTTTTGGTCGTCTTGAGCTGACGGAAGCCCGAACGCGTCGAGAACGCGAAAGTCTTTCAAACACTTGGCCAATCAAGTTTTCACTTTATTCGGGCCCTGTTCGGTGTCCTCGTGTGGCCCTCTTGGAGGCATCTTGGCCCGTCTTGAGGCTATCTTGGGTGCCACCTTGGGTCCATCTCGGGCCGTCATCGAGTCATCGAGGCATCTCGGGCCATCTTGGCGGCCTTTGTTGCCTGCGTGGGCCGTCTTGGGAACCAGGGGCGCGGACCCATTGTTTCTTAAGAGTGATCGCGACTTCGAGAACTCGGGCCAGTTGTTCTAGTCAGAGGGATCTTGGCCTAGGAAGGGGAGCGGTGCATGCGACACTCTACGGCGAGCTATCATACAGCCCATGGCATTCTACTACGCCCCAACGTGCCAGCTGACACGGTGGCGGTTTGTTGAACTCTCACTTCTGAATAACGATCTGTAGGCTTACGCCACATCCGCCGACCCCTCATCTTGGCGGTCTTGCCGGCTCGCTTGAATCGGGCTGGGGAGTCGCGTAGGGGTTCATAATGACCTCTCTCGAGGCCCCGGGGGGCCCATCGGAAAAGAAAGGACGCTAAGGCAATCTTGGCATCGTTCTGGAAATGCCCAAAGGGTGGAAGCGTTAGATTGGGGCCCGTATATTTCTTGCTGGGTTTGACTTCTTTGGTGAGGCGGGGTTGTTTTTGGGGGCATCCTTCAGCCCGCGCGGGGAACCCCGGGGCTGTGGAGGGGGCGAGTCTCACACGCTTGGGAACCGAGAAGGTGTTCGCGGTTTGTTTCGCATTGCTAGGTCCAGGGACGTTGCGAGCCCGAGGCCATCGCGTGACCTACGGGGGCTGAGCTAGGACGCTACGTGCGGCCGAAGCGGTGGTTCGGTTGGTTTTCCCCCGCGTCCTCACTGGGCGTTTCGTCATCATCATCATCATCATCACCACCAGGTGCTTCGCGGGGAGAGAGTGGAGTGGGATGAGTGGGAAGAGGAACTCATGCCACGAGACCAGTGCGAGCGCTGCCGGCGGAGGTTGTTGGTAGAGGCGTTCACGAAGTACGAGTTCCAGAGAAAGGAAAGGCCGGTGTTCTGCAAAGAGTGCACGGAGGAGATGAAAAGCGCGGGCGAGAAATGGTGAAAGACGCGCAGAGGGTCGGCAACGAGAGGAGAGAGTGACGACGCGGCACGCCATGGTAGCGGTCGGAGCGCGGATGCGGCGGCCGACGACGGGGAAACGAAAAGGATTAGGACAATGTACTGCGCGAAGTGCAGCGGTATCAACGCCAAGCATAACTCGCGGAAAGACAGCGCGAAGTGGAATCAGAGCGTCGGAACAGTGCGATGTACGAACGGTAAGTGCCTGTCGCTATATGACGAAAAGGCGGATATGTCGGAAGCTCAGAAGAAGCACAATGCTGCGGGGGAAAGGCTCTGTCGGAAATGCGCGGAAGAACGAGAGAAAGAGGTGCGACGGGGGAATGCGGAGGCAGCGAATCGCAAGCGGAAAGCCGAGGCGGACTCGAAGCCACTGACGCGCACGGCGCGCGGAGAAGCGTTCTCGGACACGAAACATTTGAAGCGTAAGCAAGTGGAAGGTCATCGAGCGGCGAAAGGAGCGAAAGTGGTGTGCGGAGGCTGCAAGAACCTGGGGTTCACAGCCCGCAGTTGCCAGGCGCATCAGTGCGGCGGCGCGTGCAAGAGAAGACTACCGAAGTCGGCGTTCTCCGGGGGCCCTGCCAACGTCGCGCGCGATGCAAAAAAAAAGGCACCCTGATATGCAAGACCTGCGAATGATGCCCAATCGGGGGCGCGCGTGCGGGGGAGGACACGGGGGAGGGGGAGAGAGGGATGGGGGGTGAGGCGGAGGATGGGGGGAGAAGAATCGGGGAGGAAGAGGATGAGGCGGGGGAGGAAGAGGAGGAGTGGGCGAGGAGGAGGTGGAGGAGGAGGAGGAGAGGGGGAGGAGGACGGGGACACAGAGACGAAACTCGGGGATATGTGCTATGGGTTAGAGGTCTTTTGTATGTGTATAGGGATCTCGCGGCGCGCCTCTCGGGGACCTCTGGAAAACAGTTTTGCACCCACCTGGCGGCCGAGGTGGAGGAGGAGGAGGAGGAGGAAAAGGAGGAAGGGGACACAGAAACAAGGCTCTGGGTTATGGGTTTTGGGTTAGAGGCGTCTTGCACCAGCTTGGGGCCAATTTGGAGACAGGTTTTGCCGTCTTGGGGTCGTCTTAGGCCGAATTGGGAGGCGTCCTGGGCCGTGTTGGGATTCTCTGGGGCCGTCTCGAGGCCCTCTTGGGGCGCCGTGGGGCGATCTTGGAGGCTCTTTGGGCTACGTGAGCCGACGGAAGCCGGGAAAGGCAACAATTGCAAACATGTTCAACAACGCAATGGACATGTAATGAAATCCGTAATGTGCACTTCTTTCAAATGTCCTGGGGGTTTTCTTGGAGACTTCGTGGGCGATAGTGAAAGCCTTGTAGGCCATCTTGAGGCCATTTTGGGCCGTTCTCGATCTGTCTTCGGCCTGGGCCGTTTTGGAGCCATCCTGGGCCGTCTTGGAGCAATCTTGGCCTCGAGAGCGCGAGTCCTTTTTTGTGCGCAAGCGCAACCCCGCCACCGTGCCTGGGTTGTTGATATGAGACTTGTGCGGTGATCGTTGGGATCTCTTGGGGGGCTTCTCGCGGGACTCTTGGAGGCAGTTTCGAAGCCTCTTGGGGGCCGTTTTGAGGCCGTTTTGGAGCGTCTTGGGGGCCTCTTGGGGCCTCTTGTGGGCGTCTTGGGGGCCTCTTGGGGCCTCTTGGGGCCTTCCGGGGCCGTCTTGGGGCGGAAGGCTCGGATTGTCGGTTCGGGCTCCCCCTCTTGGGCACCTTTTGGGGCCGTCTTGGGGCCCTCTTGGGCTGTCTTGGGGGCCTCTTGGGCCGTCTTGGTGCCCTCTTGGGCCGACTTGGGCGCCTCTTGGGGGCCTCTTGGGGCGGTCTTGGGGTGCTCTGGGACCGTCTTCAACGCCGTGAAGGCGGGCAAGTAGTATATGATCTAAATGTACGTTTTCCCATAGGAATTTGACGATTTTCGGCGCTTCGGCCCTTCTGAGGACTGCTCTTGGAGGCCTCTTGGGCCGTCTTGGAGGCCTCTAGGCTCGTCTTGGGGCCATCTTGGGCGTCTGGGAGCGCTCGTTTGGCGCCTCGGAGCTCTCGTGAGCCGTCTTGGAGGAGTCTTGGGGCCTTCTTGGCCCGTCTTGATCCCCTTTTGGGCCCAAGAGAGCCCCGTGACGCGCTCGTGGTGGGCCCGGGGGGGGGGTTCAAATCTCCGGTTTGGGGTCCCAGGGAGGGGTTAGGGGGGGGGAACTATGTCACACGCCTAAAGACCCACAAGGGGTCGGCGGACTACTGTCGATCCCCCCGCCCGGAGCCCATAGTAGTTTTCAATTGAAGTGCTCCCTCCCAGGGCTCGCACCCTGTTTCTTTTGGGAAGCCTTGGGCCTCAAACTGTGCCCCTGCCCCCCGGACTGACAACAACATCGGCTCTCGCGCGATACGTCCTCGATTGGGTTACTCTAAATCGCTCTCTGTCTGGAGATTTCCTCAAAATGTACTCAGGAATCGCGCTCTCGCCCAGGATCTTATCGTAATTTGCTGAGGAGCTGCGCTCTTGACGCCCAGGAATCGCGAGGCGCTGCGATCTTGACGGCTCCGCTGAGACCAATGGTCAATGACCTGGGAGGGCAAGCGGGGCTACGAAGAGGAGGGGGCAAGCGGGAGAGGAAAGGAAGGGGGAGGACGAGGAGAAAAGGACGCGCCGTCGGGGCCTTTCCTCCGAGAGCTTGCGGGGGCGTTGCCCCCGCGGCCAGCTTCGCTCCAAAGATGGGAAGGAGAGGACCAGGGCAGGGGCCAGTACCCAGGCCCAGGACATGGGCGAGGTCGAGGAGGACGAGGAGGAGGAGGAGGAGGGCGACGACGACGTAGCGCTTCACTGCATGGACTCTCTGCCCTGCCGTGCTCCTGGCCCGTAAGGGTTGCAGGTGCCCACGTACGACTTTGTCGCCAGTTTCCATTCTGCGATAGACAGGCCGACCCTTGCCGCTACCCCCTCCCGATCTTGCCCCACCTTCTTCCCTCTCCCCTCCTCACCCCACCTCTCCCTCCCTCTCTCCCTCTCTCCCGCCCTCTGTCATCGCCCCCCTGGAAGATGTTTCACTGTGTTCTGGCAGCCGATCGCTCGTTGCCTCCATCGGCGTGGCGAAAAAGTGGCTTCCCAATTTTGCCCTCCCTTTCGCCCTCGCTGCCGCTGTCGTGTCCTTCTCTTCGTGCGTCTTCCCTGCCGCTTCTCCCCGGAGGATTTGGTATTTGCTGGTTGAGGCTTCGACGCGACCCGCAAAGCGATACGAGATGCCGCCTGCGACTGCGACTGCTCATTCATAGTAGCGTGTACACCCAGTAAGTCTATCTGGTCAACGAGAGACGCTTTGACGCCCATTAGGCAACGCCCAGGAAGTAACGCCCGAATGTATACCCAGTACGCCCAGTAAGTATCGCTTTGACGCAGCCAGTCGGACAGAGGTTGCGATTCAGACGCGCAATGCAGTTCGCAATGGTCTGAACGTCTGCCCGTCAGCCTGGCCAAGCCCAGCGTGGCCCAGCCCGGCCTGGCCTTGTCTTCGCTTTTACTGGAATTGTGGATCTCGACCTATGCAGGAATATCTTGCTGCGGACCGGGGACCAGACACTCACGCTTGTCGGCTCCCCCAGAGGAATCGGCGCTTTGTTTTATGCGGAGCATTTGTTGTCGCCAGCGGGTCGCGTATTCAAATTCCCGACACAATTGGAGTTTGCGCTTTGCCTGTTCGAACACAGCAACGCTTGGAGCGCCCTGGCGTGCGTGTGGTAAGCCAGACTGCGTTCGCAGGTCATACGTAGAATCTCACCTGGCCACTTTTTCGCTAGCGTTCGCTGGTGTCGACAGACTTCGTTATTGCCCATTAGCCACATGATTTAAATCATCTCATTGCGTTGTCATCCGAACACCGCGCCTCGCATCGCAATTTAATTGCGTTGTGCTGAGGTGTCGGTTGGATTTTGTCTCTTGGTGTCCTACGCTGCAGCTGGCACCTGTGGACAATCGTGCAGCGGCACGGACCGGGTTGTTGGTTTGCTGTGCTGGTCCGTCGTGGCTTTGCTTGTGCGTTAGCTGTGAAGCGCCACTGGTCTTCTGAAGAAGGGTGAGATATCACAACCAGATGGTGTACGAGCGACACGGCAGTGCAGCAGCCCCATCGTGTCACAACACGCATGTCCATCCTCGACATGATAGTCTGGTTGCTTTTTTCGGGGGCTACTCGCCATCCTGACATCCAGACGTCTAGCAGAGCTATCCATGAACAACATGTCAATACCGCCTCGGGCACAGCAACCCCCGTCAGAAGCATGGGGTCCAATCGTGTGGTGCTGCACCCCCTATCGTCTATCGTGGCGTGCGGCTGCCCGCTGGCCCGTGGCCTTCTTCAGCATTTGACCAGCAAGCATCGCGGTTGTGTGCTGCACGTTGCTGGATTTGCCCATCGCTGGGCTCCTTGCGCTGCTGTGCACCCTCGGAGTGCCTGGTATTCGCGAGCGGTGAGCATAGTATCTACGCCCTCGCGGTCTGGATTCTGGGTCGCGACCCCGCGGATACGTGGTCGTACGGATACGCTCTGCGCGGAGCACTCGCGACAAAAACGCCCCTTGTCCGCGGGGTGGCGGCCCAGGGGCCCAGCCCGCCATGCCGCGGATACGGATAATAATATGTGTGTTCGCCCGCGAGGTATCCCCGATGACCTCTCGGATTGCCGTTCGCCCGAGCCCTGGCAGGGTCGTACTGTGTTGCCCCTGGGCCGCCACTTCGCGTGATGCCTTCCTGGAGCCTGGGCCGCCGTACTGGCATGATGAACTGTTCGGCTGCTTGCGGCGTGCACCGCCACCGTGCTTGAGTAACAGTGCAGCAGGAATGAGGCTGAGTGTAGGAGTAGCGCAATTCGGACAAGTGGTCTGAATTGGGACGGGTCGTGAACTCAATCTCGTCTTCGTCCGCGCAGCAGGAAGGCTGTCGAGTTCACGCCCAGCGGCATTTCAGCGATTGGTCTGAACTGGAAAGGGTCGTGATCACGTCGTCGTTCGCGCGGTAGGAGAGAGGAGAGGAGGAGGAGGAGGAGGAGGAGGAAGAGGAGGAAGAGGAGGGAGGGCGGAGGGGGAGGGGGAGGAGGAGGGGGAGGGGGAGGAGGAGGGGGAGGAGGAGGTGAATTTGGAGGTGGAGGTGGAGGAGGAGGAGGAGGAGGAGGAGGAGGAGGAGGATGAGGAGGAGGATGCTTCTTGGGGCTCCTCTTGGGGCCTCAGGGCCTCGTGGTGGCCTCTTGGGTTGTCTTGGCTCCTCTTGGTGGCCTTTTGGTAGCCTCTTGTCTTGGTGGCCTCTTGGTGGCCTCTTGGCAGCCAAAAACCCAAACAGGTGAGAACCTCAACGTCTGACTAGGGAAGATCAATGGTTTTGGCTTCCTCGAGCTCTCCAGGAGGGCCTCTGGTCATCTTGGGGGCCTGTTGAGTTGTCTTGCGGCCGTCTTGAGAGCCCCTTGAACCGTCTTGGGTCATCTTGGGCTGGGCCGTCTTGGTGTTTTCTTGGCTGCCTTGGAGGCTGTCGTGGAGGCCATCTTAGCTGTTTGGAGACCGAAAACAGTGCTGGAGAGTGAATTCGAAGGCGGCGATCTCAGAGGCACGCGGGCCGTCTGTGGTGGACGGGCGTAGGGCTGGTGGGATGCCTAAACTGCACAAGGCCCTGTGGCGGACGTGTCCTGAGCCCTTGCCCTTCCGCAGTCCCCTTCCGCGGCTGTCCGCCCGCCCCCCTCTGCTTCCATGGTGCTGTCGTTGCCACTTCGTGCTGCTGCCACCAGCGACGGCGCGCCGCTCAGAGCCGTGTTGCCGACGATGGGGAGGGGATGTCTTTCACGCCCCATCCTTTTCAGGCCGCTCTGCGAATCACCTGCCCCTGCGGGACTGGGGAGTCCCAGGCCTGGCCCCCGCCCTCGTCCAGAGACCTCCCAGGGTCCCGGGCCGACGCGCCCCGAATGCCAAGGACAGGAGCGGCGCATCATGATTGAGCCGGGACGGCCTAGCAGGAGGAGCGCATAGCACAGAGGACGGGCCCCATTGGAAGAACAAGGCATGCAAGACAACCGTTCGTTGTGGTTGCCCGAGCATTTGCGAGGGCAGGAGGTCGACCAGAGGAGCGCACCACGAAAGGCAAAGCCCGGCGCCACAATCTAGCTGCTCAAATTGAGCACCTGGCAGCACGCAGACCAGTAGGCTCATCACGACCGTGGGGTAGAAAATCAGACCTGCACCACGACTGGGACACCACTCAAGTTTGCAGCAAGTGAAGCAGGACTGAAAGCAGTGATTTGGGACAACATCAAATTCTTGGCTCCCAAGGGGGGCCGGCCGGAGAGGCGGTATGGGGATCCTGGGCTGTTTGCCTCTGGGGACCTTGGGCCTCTCGAAGACGACCGAAGAGTCCCAAAACTGTCCCAAAGAGGGCACCCGAGAGGGCATCAGGATGCGAAACTTTTTAAAGTAGTCCTTGGGAGGTTGTTCAAGGTTTTGGGTTTCTGGCCCTTTCGGGGAAAAAGCTTTTCGACGGCCAAGTGGTCCCAGAGATCGCCTCCAGACGGCGCCAGAGGTTCAAAGGGCCAGAGAATTTTCCCAGAGGGTCCTCTTCAGATTGCCCAAGGCCCCAAGACTGCCCACAGACGGTCCCACAAGAACGCTCACGAAGGGCTTTAAGGGGCCCCCAGAGGGCCCGAAGAGGCAGTGTGGGCACTGAGCTGCTTGGGTGTGGGGACCTGGGTCCCAGCCCAGGCCACATTTTGAATGCCTGGAGCCAGCTCCAGAGCGCTAGTCCAGTGCCATAGTTTGAGTGCCCGAGCTGAGGCCGGCTGAGGCCGAGGCAGGCTGAGGCCGAGGCAAGCTGAGGCTGAGGCGGAGGCACGCCGAGGCAGGCTGAGGCTGAGCTGCGGCAGGCTGAGGCTGAGGCTGAGGCTGAGGCTGAGGCGGAGGCGGAGGCTGAGGCTGAGGCTGCGGCTGAGGCAGGCTGAGGCTGAGGCAGGCTGAGCCTGAGGCTGAGGCAAGCTGAGGCTGAGGCTGAGGCTGAGGCTGAGGCTGAGGCAGGCTGAGGCTGCGAGGCTTGCGCTGAGGCTGAGGCTGAGGCTGAGGCTGATGCTGAGGCAGGCTGAGGCTGAGGCTGACGCAAGCCGAGGCAGGCTGAGGTTGAGGCTGAGGCTGAGGCTGAGGCTGAGGCTGAGGCTAAGGCCGAGGCTGAGGCTGAGGCTGCGGCAGGCTGAGGCTGAGGCTGAGGCTGAGACTGAGGCTGAGGCAGGATGAGGCCGAGGCTGAGGCAGGCTGAGGCTGAGGCAGGCTGCGGCTGAGGCTGAGGCAGGCTGAGGCTGAGGCTGAGGCAGGCTGAGGCTGCGGCTGAGGCAGGCTGAGGCTGAGGCTGCGGTTGAGGCTGAGGCCGAGGCATGCCGAGGCAGGCTGAGGCTGAGGCTGAGGCTGATGCTGAGGCAGGCTGAGGCTGAGACAGGCTGAGGCTGAGGCTGAGGCAGGCTAAGGCTGATGCAGGCTGAGGCTGAGGCCGAGGCAGACTCAGGCCGAGACAGGCTGAGGCTGAGACTGAGGCTGAGGCTGAGGATGAGGCCGAGGCAGGCCGAAGCTGAGACAAGGTGAGGCTGAATGGGGGGGGGAGGGGATGGGGGGTGAGGCTGAGTCAGGCTGAGGCCGATGCAGTCTGAGGCGAGGCAGGCTGAGGCTGAGGCTGAGGCTGAGGCAAGCCGAGGCTGAGGCTGCGGCTGAGGCTGAGGCTGAATCTGAGGCAGGCGGAGGCATCCGTGGGAATCCATAGGGATCCCTAGGATTCCGTAGGCATCCTGAGGAATCCGTAGGCATAGTGAAGCATCCTCAGGAATCCTTAGGAATCCTTAGGATTCCATAGGAATCCTGAGGGATCCCTAGGAACCCATAGGAGTCAGGATTCCTAAGGATCCCCAAAGTTTCCCAAGGATTCCTATGGATTCCTAAGGATGCCTAAGGATGCCTTTGGAATCCCTAGGAATCCTTTGGATTCCATTGGATCCCAAGGCCGTTGCCACTGCGACTGTCATTGCGAATGCGACTGCGACTGCGAAAACAGCAGAATTCTACAACTGGATTCTCACCAGAATCTTAAGGG